AATTGGAGACACTTGCAGCGCAAAACAGCAATAAAATATGATTGTATATGTCATGAAAGTACTTTTAATTTCCAGCAATTAATAGGCCTTGTTTGGAAGCATGTCATGCTAAAGCTTTTTCCAAGTACATATAAGAAAAACGGCGAATTGATAAAGACGATTCGTAGAAAATGGCGTTTAAGACTTTAGGGCCAGCAAAGAAGACGCATGCCAAAATCAAAATTTATATGTGATATATTCGACCTTAGAAGTATATCGTTTTGGGTATTATTTAAATGATTCCATAGCGGCATTTGGCCTTGTAGTCTAAGAGCCAGTGAACAGCAGACTGCATGCAATTTCCCAAAGCTAAAATTTTGTTCCTCTACTTGGAAATGAGATTAACTAAGCCCTACAGCGGTTCATACGGCGCCACGCATGTAGCAAAGTTAGAAAATTTAGGCAAACTTCGAAAGCATTTTAATAAGTCTGCCATTTAAGTATTTTAACATTCGATGATACTATTCGAAAATAATACTGGCAGACAATTATGGCGGTTTTGAGATCACTTTTGAAAAAAGGCAAAAAGAAAAATATTCAAATGTATTTCAACAAATCAGAACTTTTAATATTTTACTTATTATAGTATAAGAAGCCTTTATTTATCAAGGCAGACATTCTCTCCGGTAATAATATTTCGGCAGACAGCGAAACCTAACCTATTTTCTTTATTAAATACTCACCTCATTTAAATAAATATGTATGTACCTCATAAGTTTTTCGGATGTCATGGCGTATTAGTTACCTATTAACTCGATATTTTATGAAGAGTAAAGTCGTATACATAGGGACGTTCCGATACCATCAAAGTATCGATACCTACTCAAATGAGTTTACTCAAATCGCTATTGCGATACTACTTATATGAGTGAACCGAATGTATCGATACCTACTTATATCGATAATTTTTCATCCTTTTACATGCAACAAAGCGAAATTATTTTTCAGACATACCTTGAGCGGCACCTGAGTGGCAGATCGACCTATCTCGGCAGAGAGTTCGAGATTTTCAATATATTTTCAGTTAAGGTATCGATATGTATATTTCTTCATTAGTAGCACTAGAAGTAATACGATTACTTAGACAAAAAATTCAACCTTTGAAAGGTTCCCACAAAATTTTACGGCTACAATGCATTGCTTGCACTTTATTGTGGTATCACTAGCTTTGTAAAATTATATCCACACTTTACTGGCCGTCTCCACAGGATAAAATTTATTGCTGTCCAGCTGTAATTTTGGTCACTAGATATAAGTTATATCAGTGGCAATATTTGTGTGGGATTTTTATATCTTGATATAAACATTTGTAAGATAGCTTCTACAACGCATTTTTGCCGGATCTAATCACTTATAAAATTTAAAAAAAATATACTATTTTACACCCAAGTACACAAAACAAATATTTTGACAGAAACCAGCTCAACTTTTGCTTTTATATTAAAATATCAATAAGGTTGACACGAAGTTTTCGTGCAAATGAAAATGTAGCTGTCAAACTACCAAATTTCCGGCAATAGATGGCAAGATATAAGCTCTGATATATATTGCTCTTGAAGAGCAATGAGCGGTCTCCATTGGCTATTTATATTCTAACATACATATGTATCAAGATATAAACTTTATCCTGTGGAGACGGGCAGTTAGATTTTGGCGGTGTCATTGCTTAAAGAAATTATTTTTCATAAAAACGAAGCAATTATTTTCCATAGAGCAAATATTGTCGACAAGATATGGCACCTGCTCAAACCAATTCGATACAAGTACTTTTCTTTCGATACCAAG